GTTCAAGTGGATCAACAAGAAGTGGAAGGAGGGCTTCTACGTGACCTCCATGGCCACCAGCCACACGCGCTGGGCGGTGGTCATGAGCCGCAACGCGGGGTTCGTAGACCAGGTAGGGGGGCAAGAGGGGTGAGGGGGGGGCGGGGAGAGCGCGTTGTCGCTGTCGCGCAGTGCTGAATTGTGCAGAGCAGGGGACGGCGTGTGGATTTGTGTAGACCAGGTGGGGCGCTATGCGCCCCACGGAGGGGGGCGAGCCGTCATCACAACGGGTGCTGACGCATTCACATGTATTCACATCCAGCCTCCTGTGACTGCCTCGTCTCGGTCCTTGTTTAGCCTGTTCCTTCCCCTCAACATCACTCACGCGCACATGCACACGCACCCACGCGCGCGCGCACTCGCGCGCGCTCTCTTTCTCACACACACACACACACACACGCGCAACCCCCACCCTCACCCCACCCCCAGTGCATCGAGCTGGACTTCCAGTACCCCTCAGAGGGCATCCACCGCCGCTGGGACGCCGGCTTCCGCATCACCGCCTGCGCCGCCACGCCCGACCAGTCCGCCTTCGCGCTGTCCGTCCCGCGGCGCCGCCCGATGGACGAGACGCAGGAGACGCTGCGCACCTCGGCGTTCCCCAGCAGCCACGTGAAGGAGAAGTGGGCCAAGAACCTGTACATCGCCGGGATAGCCTACGGCCGCACGGTCAGCTGAGGGGCGGCCCGAGCAAGTGCACGCCAGCCGCCCAGATCGCCTACGGCCGCACAGTCCGGGATACCCCACGGCTGCGCGGTGAGCTGAGAGGGGGCCTGGAGTGGGCCGGCTGGATCGCCTACGTCCGCACCGCGGGGGCCGGGCTGGGGCCTGCTGTCCGGCGGGATTGCCTATGGCTGTGCAGTCAGCTGAGAGGCGGGCCGGGCCAGCGCTCCCTGTCCGGCGCGGCCGCCAGCGGCGGCTCCTGCGGCGGCGGGCGTCTTTTTGGGGATGGCTGTCGTCCCGGCGGTGTCGTGTGTGAGCCCCCTTGTGTGTTTCGCAGGACACGGTACAGGCCCCGAGCGCGCACGTGAAGCGCTTGCACGTGGAACCTTCGATCTGCTAGCATGCGCCTGCGCCTCCTTTCTCTCTCTCTTTTTCTTTTGGGTTTGCTGTCTCTTCCCGTCTTCTTTTCCACTCGCCCCGCACCCTTGTGGCTCCCTGCGCGCCCCAGCGCACCCTAGCGGCGCCACCCGCGCCGCGCCACGCCAGTCAAGCCTCGCGCACGCCCTGCGGCCGCCGCCGCCTTCCTCCTTTCGGGGCGGCGCCGTCCGCCGCGACCCCGGCCTCGCATTGGCGGGCCCGGCTCCCAGGGTCCTCTGAGGCTCTCTTTGGCGGGCGTCCTTCTGCCTCGCCTTGCCCCATACCTCAGGTGTAATACCCCCTCAGGACGAAAGATACCCTGCACGCGCCCTCGGCCTTTGCTGCAGTGCAGCCGGTCGCGCCGAACGCACCCATGGCTCGCACACCCCTGCACCTGCTGCCCAGTAGTCGGCCCGTGGAGGGCACTACCAGCTCCCCTGTCAGCAGCCATGCCTCTGCCCCGCCTTGGAAGCACCCTCAGCAGCTGCTAGAGTCGGAATCACAATCCCCGCGCGCGCCAGTGGCAGCATCAGCGGCTGCGACGAGTATAGGGGGGGCGGGGGCACCAGTCCAGAGACCCGAACTCAAAGGACTATGCCGCAGGAGGGCCCAGGACCACCGCTTCGCCAGTCTCATGCTGGCCTGAAATTGCCGCGTTGCATATCGAGGCGCCACGTGGCACCCCCACGCTGAACTGCAGGCAGCGGGGCGTGCCGTCGTGCACCCAGTTTCATGACCGCGAACGGGCGGGGCCCAGCGCTGAGCGCCAGGCAACTCCGCTGCGCCCGCTGTGAGCTCTTGGCTGCGGGCGCACAGGGAGGCGCAGGGCGGTTCAGGCGTAGCAGCAGGGAGGGAAGCAGTACCCAGCTAGCACATCGCCTAGCTCGCGCAGCACAGTGCAGTCTGCGCACTCTATATCAGATACAGCTGGAGTGTTTGACATCTGAGCGGTCTGAGTTTTCACACAAGCTGACTCAGAAGTGCAAGGGTCGCCAGTATTGTCATCATGCTGCTGCATACGAGTAACATTATACAGGCTCGACTGGCAGGATAATGCAATCGTAGGCAGTACACACGCACTCTGGGCACTGGGCCCTAGCCGGGCCTGTGACATTTAGCAACTAAGCAGTTGCGCAGGTGCGCAAGAGCCGTTTGGGTGTCATCGTTTTGTTGATGTCAGTGGCGTTACTGACATCAACACAGTCGTTAACGACACACACGCATGACAAGGAACAGCGATCCGCAGTCAACCCTGTGGCTGGAACTCTCTTGAAGAGCCAGGCAGGCCAGGGTGTACACCCGGGGAAGGGGCAATGCATGGAATCGGGTGTCGTGCGTGCGGGCAAACATTGTTGAGGCAGGATGCATAGAGAGCTCTTGATGGGGGGGCGCCAGCGGGGCTGGCTTAAGCCTGGGGCCTACTGCTACACGCTGCGTAGGCTCTGCAGCGCGTGTGTGCGTGTGCGGGGCCGCCATCGATCCATCACGGCGGCCGGCAAAAATCGGCTTGCAACAGCTTGTACCCCAATGATGCGCCCCAAATTTGGGGGGGGGGGGCGGGGGTTGTCACGATGACTCACAGAGGGTGGTTATCAATCAGCAGACGGAGCACTTCAGGCCCGTGCCTTCGCAAACAACGAGCTTCCCTTGGAACTTCTCGAGGCCCCGCGGCAGGCAGCCCACCAAGCCGGGGTTGTCACTGAGGTACAACCCATAGGATTCAGAGAGCGTCCGGCCCAACGCGCCCCAGGAGGGCGGAATGCCGCCCGTCAGCTGGTTTCCGTTCAAATTGAGCGACGCCAGAGCCTTCAAGGAGCCCCATGACGCAGGCAGCGGCCCCGTGAAGGCGTTGTTGTCCAGGTCCAAGGTTTCCATGGCGGGCCAGCCGGCGCCAAAGTCGGGGCTCAGCGTGCCGGTGAGCTTGTTGAAGCTGAACGGGAGGGGGGGACGGGCGGGTCAGGTGTGAGAGGCCGCGCACAAAGCACACTTGGGGGTATGTATAAGAGGGGGAGATCGTTAAGGCGACAGGTGGGGGATAGGGATGCATGGGGCGGGCGGGGCGGTTTGGAAAAGTATTGCGGTGGGGTACAAGGGGTGTCGGGGCGTTGGCGGGG